AGTCTGTCACCCAGGCTGGAGTGCAGTGGTGTGATCTTGGCTCACTGCAACCTCCGCCTCCTGGGTTCAGGCGATTCTCCTGCCTTGGCCTCCGGAGTAGATGTGGAGAATTCTTGCCAGTGGAGGTTATTCACTGAATCACAGCTTGAAAGGTTTTCTGCAACTCTTTCTCTAGAGGTGGTGAACTTAAGAGAGGACGGATTTTCATTTACCTGAAAGAGTTCAGGACAAAAGCCAAGCAGCAGCAAAGGAAGCAGATTTTTGGAGCGCCCACCCTGTGAGAGCTTTCTCAAATGGCGTCCCATTGATTCTTACAAAAGCTCTGCCTGAAGGTATGATTGTGCCCATTGTATAAACAGCGAAACTGAGATTCACTAAAGTTGTGTGAATCACACAGTTCCCAAGTGGCAGAATTAGAATTCAAAATCAGCTGTCTCTGGTTCATAAATTTGCATTTCCTCCCCGTCACCAAAACTCCAGATATGAACTCCCTGTCTGACCAAAGCCTACAACGATGACAAATTCGTGTCTCTTCCTGCTGACAAGCACAGTACCTGCCATTACTGCCTCAGGTGTCCAGCGAAATACGGAGTTTGTTTACAAAATAAGTCTCCCAGCGTTCTCTATGTATTAGCAACCCCAGAGAAGGAAGGGCTGCCTGCTTTGCAAAGATCAAACTCCCTGTGTGTTTCACCCTCTGCACACTTCAAAACCAGGCTTCTACAAGCCAGTTACTCCAGGAGCTTAGCAAAAGGGTAAATAAAATGTTCTCTGTATCCCTGGAAATCCCCAATAAGAGCTCTAAAGTCTTCTCAAATCAACAAACTCTGAATTAGAAGGAAGGAGATTACTGCGTTTGGAGTTTTGAAATATCAAACCTGGAAACAAATAATCTCTCTCACTCTCAGTTTATTTGTATGTGAAATAAGGCGGGGCAGGGGGAGTGGTTATGGAGGGGATGCATAATGGATTAGAGCATTCTATACAGTCCTGGGTGGGGGGAATTAATGATACTACTTATCATGACAGTTGCCACACTCACACTGTAGCAGTCTCCCATTTGTCTACGGGGAACCAACTCCTTGCAGGGACTGCCTGAGTTTTTGTTTGGTCCAACTGAGTGGTAGACATATAAGGATGCAGGGCTGGGCATGAAAATGAGTCACCAAGGTGGGACTCCCTTCTGTGACTCATCAGGTGAGTTCCAGAATGGCAGAGGCCTCTAACAAAAAAGATGCAATCAGTTCGTCTCTGGTACTCTCCGCACACCTGCAATTTAGGACCTGATAGCTAGAGATCCCCTTTGGGAAAGAATTTTAAGTGAATATGAAGGAAAAGATGAATTTGATGGAAAAGAAAGTCAATATTTTCACTATTCAGAAGTATAAAAGGAATGTCATAAAGGTTATACTTAAGGTACTTAACCTAGAGTTTATTCTAAAATACCACCCCAAATCCCCTATCTAACATGAATAAGGTGGCAAAAGTTCTGGTTACATGGAAAGATCAGACGCTTGCAAAACACACACACACACACACCTCATTTGTGTAGTGTTTACTTAGCCCTTACCAAGCAGGTGGTATTCGCTCCATTTTAAAGAAGAAACAGACATTGAAAGATCAAGTGACTTTCTCCAGGGCTTTTGGCACCTTGAAATTTCTTTCATCTCAGCTGAGTGCAGTGGCTCACGCCTGTAATCCCAGCACTTTGGGAGGCCAAGGTAGGCGGATCACAAGGTCAAGAGATCGAGACCATCCTGGCCAACACAGTGAAACCCCATCTCTACTAAAAATACAAAAATTAGCTGGGCGTGGTGGCATGCACCTGTAGTCCCAGGTACTCGGGAGGCTGAGGCAGGAGAATCACTTGAACCTGGGAGGCAGAGGTTGCAGTGAGCCAAGATCGTGCCACTGCACTCCAGCCTGGCCACAGAGCGAGACTCCGTCTCAAAAACAAAACAAAAAAAAGTTATATTTCATCTCTACCATGAAAGCTCTCTAAAATACTGAGCAGAGCATAGCACGAAAAACTTTGGTAGGTTTTTTTTTTTTTTTTTTTTTCTGGAGACAGTATCCCATTCTGTCCCCTAGGCTGGAATGCCATGGTGTGATCATGGCTCACTGCAGCCTGGAACTCCTGGGCTCAAGCGATCCTCCCATCAGCCTGCTGAGTACTTAGCTTTCACATTGCTGTTTAAAGGTTTTGTCATCTGGTAGTGGAGCTTGACAATAGACAAGATAAAATTGCCATCTTTATCACATGGAGGTATGCCCTACTTGAAAGACAACCAAATATTATAAAAATTCTCACTCAGGTACATGAATGAGTTACATAGTGGTATTTTAGAGGGATATTTTGGTTTTAACAAATGTTAACAAATGATTCCTTTATGTTGCAAATTTCCTTTGATGTGCTTAAAATATGACCTGATTTGCACCGACCTGGAATTTGTATCCAAGCATCCATGCATTATAGAGCAAGGGACACCTACCTGTACCCTCAGTTCCTTCCCACAGCAAAGCGTTTACTAAAGGTGTCCTCTCTAACCTTGGCTCACCATCGCCAGGTGATGGGTGGCTAGAACAAAGTGAAATGACCTCAAGAAAGGTCACAAGGAAGGAGGAGCATTTGGGAGCTAATCACAATATAATGATTATGCCCCATGCAGAGAGAGGAAGGTGAATGGATTTGCTTTGCCCTGCTGTGCCACAGAAACAGGCCACATTAGTTCCATTTATCTCTAGGTCTATCTGTAATACAAACTGGCTCCAGATCTTCATTTTTTACATAAATAATGTGGCATGTGGCTTAGTTTCTATTATGCGGTTGCCATGGCAGTTCCTCCAGTTGGCTCTTTTTCAGTGAAATGAAAAAAGGCACTTGTTAGGGGGCAGGGAAAATGCACAGGGTTGGTGGGGAAGGGCTCAGACACCTGGGCAGCCTTTGGGATCACAGGGAATGCTAGGAATATGAGCTTCCATTTGGCAGGACCACAGCCCGACCTAGTAGCCGGAAAGAAGGAAGCAAGTTGTGTGCGATTTTGAGCTTGGAGCTTATTTATTAAATCGAGCTGCTTGGGAAGTTTAATGAGGTTTCAACCAGAAATCTTCTTGGGGCTTCTCTTTGGGGTAACAAGCAGTGGAGGTGGAGAATTCCTAGGAGAAGTACAGAAGCACCTGGGCCGAGAGCCTGGCACTCTGCCAAGCTCGTTAGCACTGATAGGGTAACACAGCCCTTCTCTCGCCCGATTCCAGGCCTGTCATTAAAACCAGGGGAAGGGCTGCTTCCTTCATTAAACCTTCCCTCTCTCCCTGCCTGCCTTTGGAGGCCCCCACAGAACAGAGGTGCTGCTGTGCTTATCATGCACGTGCTGTTATTCTGGCGATCATGGATGGACTTCAGGGGCCTATGAACCCCCTGAAATACGAGTTTGATTTTATGGGTAGGTGTATTTTTCAGGGCTATGGGTCTAGATCTCATCAAAATCTCAGAGGGACTTTCCTTAATACAAAATGAAATTCAGATGCTCTAGGACTGGCTCTGCAAGGAACACTCCGGATAGAGGTACATGGGCCCTGGGATTTTAGAGTTGGCCACACCTAGTTCCAGAGATCACTTCCTCCTTCTGCAGTCTGTCACTGAAGATGGTTGGCACTTTATTCTGGCCTCAAGGTGACAGTTTTTTTTGACCAGTTAATTTGTATTAGTGACATCTATGACTTTCCCGTAGTACAGATTACACTCTCCCCCTGCACTCAGAATCACCTGGGAATGTTTAAGTGCTGGGGACTGAGCTGCACACCAAATGCTCCGATTTCATTGGTCTGGGATGGGACACCCTGGATGATGATTGTCATGGGCAGCCAGGTCTGATAACTCAGGGCTAACAGCAGGCAGAGGAACAGGGAACTGAAGTAAGGAAGGGGAAGGGTTTTCATCTCATCTGCCATTTTTGGTGACTGGTTGTAGGTGCCGGAAATGCTCTACCGTGAGGGTTTCAAAACTGGTTACCAAGTCATTCTGAGCTGGGAATATTCTTACCCACTGGTAATATACAGGGGAAGGGAAGTTGTCAGTATATATGCAGATATTTTCCATTTTAAACTTTATGTGTATACGCACAGACGTACTTAAGTCCAACTTGTGGTCCCTGCACTCAAGAGCACACACAGCCCTAAAAGCCCCATGCAGAAGAATACCACACATAGTACGCCGCCGCTTTGCAGGTCCCTCAATGAGACTGCACTGCTTTCACTGACACTGAGAATGTTTCCCTTCAAGGAAGACTGTCTTGGCCTTCTCAGGCTCTCAGCAGAGGAGGATGATGATGATAATAGCAGCCGTCACTCACTTTACATGGTAAAGTGGCACAGTTCTAGATGCTTTTTTTTTTTTTTTTTTTTTGAGATGGAGTCTGCTCTGTTGCCCAGGCTGAAGTGCAGTGGCACGATCTTGGCTCACTGCTACTTGTGCCTCCCGGGTTCAAGCAATTCTTCTGCCTCAGCCTCCCAAGGAGCTGGGACTACAGGTGTACACCAACATGTACCACAATGCAAATTCCAGGTTGTCTCTTTAGTAGAGACGGGGTCTCACCATGTTGACCAGGCTGGTCTCGAACTCCTGATCTTAGGTGATCCACCTGCCTCAGCCTCCAAAGTACTGGAATTACAGGTGTGAGCCACCATGCCAGGATGATGCTTTCTATGTGTAAAGTTAGTTTTCAGAGCAATCTGGTGAAGACTGTAGTATTATCGTCATCCCCATTTTGCAGATGAGGAAACGAAGGCAGGAGGGTGTAAATAACGTGCTCAGATTTATACCATGATAAAAAGGCAGAACTGGGACACAAACTCATGCAGTTTGCCTCCTGAGCGTGTCTTTGAGCCATGGAGTCAGACATATTTGCCCAGCAGTGCTATAAGAAAAGCTAGGCAGAGACAGGAACAGGGGAGCACTGGCCACTAGATCCAGAACCTTAACCTTCTTTTCCCTGTGACAGGCTTCATCCCTCCACCCCTCATCTTCGGGGCCGGCATCGATTCCACCTGCCTGTTCTGGAGCACGTTCTGTGGGGAGCAAGGCGCCTGCGTCCTCTACGACAATGTGGTCTACAGATACTTGTATGTCAGCATCGCCATCGCGCTCAAATCCTTCGCCTTCATCCTGTACACCACCACGTGGCAGTGCCTGAGGAAAAACTATAAACGCTACATCAAAAACCACGAGGGCGGGCTGAGCACCAGTGAGTTCTTTGCCTCTACTCTGACCCTAGACAACCTGGGGAGGGACCCTGTGCCCGCAAACCAGACACATAGGACAAAGTTTATCTATAACCTGGAAGACCATGAGTGGTGTGAAAACATGGAGTCCGTTTTATAGTGACTAAAGGAGGGCTGAACTCTGTATTAGTAATCCAAGGGTCATTTTTTTCTTAAAAAAAGAAAAAAAGGTTTCCAAAAAAAAACCAAAACTCAATACACACACAGAGGCACAGACGCACACACACTCAGACAGACACACCGACTTTGTCTTTTTTCTGAACATCAGAGCCAGACAGGATTCAAAATAAGGAGAGAATGAGATCGTGCGGCGGGGTCCTGGAGGCCGCTCGCGCGGCTGGGCCACAGAGTCTGCTTTGAAGGCACCTCATGGTTTTCAGGATGCCGACAGCTGCAAGCAACAGGCACTGCCAAATTCAGGGAACAGTGGTGGCCAGCTTGGAGGATGGACATTTCTGGATATACATACACATACAAAACAGAAAACATTTTTTTAAAGTTTACTAAAATAAAAAAAAATTAAAAAAAAAAAAAACACAAGTTGAAAGCATTGCCAGATTAAGCACTAGTGACACACCGCGTGCCACCCTCCTCCTCCAGATGGGGGTGGGGGCGGGCGCACAAGTCGGAGGGGTGGAAGCCCCACTCCTCTCTCTGACTTTCGCAATATGGGTCACTGTGTAGACGACTCACCCAGTCTGCATGTGGTTCAAGGCCCCAGAGTTCTCTCAGTGATGCTAATGGGTGATCTGTGCTGGAGTTTGTAATTGGCACCTCTCGCCAGCTCCATCTCCATGTTCAAGACTGAGGGCCTGAGGGGGAGCCGGGTGGGGGGCCAGCACCTCCCAGTGGCGGGCATCCACCTTCCCCCAGCCCCACAGAGTGACCTCAGGAAGCAGTAGGCCTCACCTGGCTATGACTGACCCGGCTCAGAGCTGGTGAGACCCAACACAGTCCAAGTCATTTGCTTACATTTGCCAAACATTTTGCCATTTTTAAAAGAAAAAAACACAATCCATATGAATTTCAAACTGTTGTATGTATAATCCTCTAATACTATTTTTAACTACTTCTAAAATCTGTTAACCCTTCAGTCACTAACACAGTTCTCTAGGCCGGATTTATCATGCTGGTTGCTTTTACTTTTTTTTCTCCTTTTTTAATGCACCAAAACTATGTGATACAAGGGATGCAATTAACCTATTGTAATTTTTATCACTTTATCCTCATTCGGATATTCTACAAAAACAAGAATATATAATGTGTTATAAGAAGAAAAAAAAATGCTTCAAAAAGAGAGTGAATATGCAGCCTGCCTTTAAAAGAATCACATTTGAGACAACAGGGGATAATGTGATGAATTGCAAATTTGCCTTTTAGCTTTCTTCCCCATGATTCAGTGATCACTGTCATGGGAAGCCCTTTTATATTCATGCTTGACATTCCAAGAGGCGTTCTTTTCAGCCTGTGGAGGAGAAACTCTTAGATGTGGGTTTGTGGTGTATGGATGCAACACTTCCGGGGATGGGAAAGAAGAACAGTTCCCTAGCACAAGCTGTTAAGAAGTCTGTAGCGTCTCTGATAACAAATAGACCCACAAGCTCCTGGAAGCTGTCGTGTGTCCAGTGCATGAAAATGTCTCTGACATTTTCAGGGTTAGTCTGGAACTAAGGCCCTTGTCTGTGTTTTGAAGGTGGGTGAACCTCAGAGAATGAACCTGTTATGATTTGGGGTAAGAATCACGTTAGAAAACCTCTTGCAACCAGTACACTAGGCCTTCTATGGCCATTTCCATAAGGGGACAGAGCTTAGGTAAAGGCACACACTCATACACAACAAAGGGCCCTGCTAACTTACCGCTCATGCTTCTTCAGTAACCTTTGTTCATGTCACATTCCTGGCGCTGGAAAAAAAACTCAAAGGTTGATTGGTTTGCTTTTTCACCTTGGACACATTTGTAGTTTACCCACAAGGCAAACAAAAGAAGCAGGAAATAAAAAATGGTTGGGCATGGGGCAGATATGGTACCAAATTTTTAATGAACGTTGTAAATGAAAAGGCTTGAATGACAGCCCAAATCTAGAGAAAGCACTGAGCAAGACCAACGAAAAGAAAAGCTGTGTCGTGGTGTGGGGCCACCATGATCAGCTACCTGGGGCAGGATGCTTCTGAGACAGGCCTTTCATCTGCTTAGTGTTAGTATGTCCTTGCTTATGAAAATGGGGACACTCATCAGTATGTTAACTAGTAAAGGGGAGATGGTTCTCCAACCACTTCATAAAATATGTATATTCTGTTGTTCCTAAGGCTTTGAGAATATCCTGTACAGGTTTTGGTTTAGTTTTGCAAATGTATTGCTAATAGGTCACTCCTATAGATTATTGCTTGGCCCTTCAAACTCAGTACACACACACTGAGGCCCTTTGACCTAGTGTTTTATGGAACTCTTTGTTTTGAGAGAAAAAAAAAAAAAGGCCTTTAAAACTCTTTGCATTTTGGACTTTTTTCCCTAAAATTTTAGGATGAAAGTGAAAAAGATGTTAGAATAACAGGAAGACAACTCCAGGGCTGAGTTTTATCAGCAATTGGGTATAAATTTAAAGACCCCTATTGCAAGATGGCTCTGAATTCTGTTGTATTGTCTTTTAAAATTTTAATTTTTCTCATATACTACCGAACAGAAAACTCGGTCTAGATTTAATTTGCCTTTTGTGCTCTAAAGAAGCATTGTACATACAACACTAGATCAGCCCCCTCGATTATCTGTTTGGTTTCAAATGAATGAAAAGATTTCCTGGTAAGATCTCCATTGGATTTACAGAACACAAAAAATGTACGGGATGGAATAAACCTAGAAAGTGAATGCTAGAGTTCTCTCTCTTCTGCTATAAACTCCTACACCATCTCAGTTGAACATGCCCAGGGGTGGATGAAAAGTCTCTCTCTGCTGAAACTGACAGATCTTTGTAACTCCTACGCATAGACCAAGAAGGTTTGGGTTTTGTTTTTGTTTAACCAATATCATTCCCTCCTATGAAGCAAGCACATTTTGCAAAAATGCCTCTCTAGGGGACGCGGTTTGCTGTCTTCTCTCAGCTGAGGCTGTGTGCTGTCAGGGAAAGCTGGCTCTGAGGCACCCGGGGGACACAGGGTTCCAGAAGGCCACAGCATGGCATGCTGGCTTTCCTCACAGCTAACGAAGGATTGGGAGCAGCCTCCTCTCACAGTCTCCCCAAGGAGCTTGCTGGGAACACTTAACAGACAAAATAATAACTGGAAACCCAAGAGCTCCTAAGGAATCATTTGACAGAGTTGCTAACATCTTCCAAGCAGGAGGGAGCGTGCCCCTCCGTAAAAATCACTTCCTTTTCACCATCTGATCATGGAATAGCTCGCTCTAACGCTTTTAAAGATTGGTTGAGTGGCATCTGTACATTCCAGTCCCCCGATCCCACTCCCCTGTGTCCAGTAATTGCCCTCCAGCTTCCCCTCACTCACACTATGGCAGGGCTTCCTAGCCCTTCTTGTTGAAAAACCTGCAGAAACGTTCCACATGAAGGCAACCAGCTGATCCCTGGGATGGTAGTCACACCACTCTTGAGGAATTTTCCCAGGAAAAAGGTTCTCCTGTGGTTACTAATGGTTATTCTTTCACACCTCCCAGAGGAGGTCTTTCACTGAGGAACATGTAAAATGGAGATAGATACATGTACTAAAATAGAGAAACCTCCGAGGAAAAGTAGTTTCTGGCTCCCCGTTTGCCTGCTGGGCTGGTTTTCTTGCTGCCTGCTGCTTCCAGTCCTAGGAAGTCTGGTTTCTTCTCCACCCAGCCATGCCTGCCAGACCTGTGTAGTCTGCTCTAAGCCCTGCTAGGAACCCCAAAGGCCCTACTCAGCAGTGGTAAGCTATGAAGGTCAATGTATAGATGTCAATGCATCTGATCATCCAGTCAAGGCCAGAAAAACAGGATGAGCTTCTGTTGCAGTTGGATGGAGTTACACTATATTTTGTTGTTGCTTGAATATTTTATTTGGTTTGGTTTAGATGAGGGAAGAAACCATGCAAGCAGTTCTTTCAGTCTAACAGATGGAGAATACTTGCCGCTGCCTGGTGCTGTTCTTACCTGACCATCTTGATGGCTTGGGAGAATCACATATCTGGCCAGAAGCCAGAGGAAAGTACCAGATACATAGCAGGGGCCTGCTGACTTCACTGGCCTCGTGCCACTCTCCTCTGATTGACCTCCTCAACCATGATCCATGTTTCCCTTTAGGGACTGTTTCCCCTTAGGTTAGAATCCACTTCAAATATCTAAGAGGCGCCAACTTTTCCAAGAGAGGGTGTTAGTGAAATTAAATTTGGCCTGGAAAATTAGTTCAAGACCCAAATATAGTATTTGCCCATTTTCTACCCTTCTTTCCTTTTTCATTACACCTGCTTCACCCAACTTATTTCAAACTGCTACTCCCCCAAACAGCTGCAAGAACGTAACCCCTTAGAGTAAACCACCCTAAATGACAGACTTTGGACCCCACGCCCCTAGTGTATTGTCATTGCTCTAGAGTAATTGGAATACCCTCTCACTGGTGGAAGATACAAGGAAGATATTTTTGTTCAAATGCCTCTTATGGGGCCTGTTGCCTAGAACAACATGTGGAATCCACCGTGAATGCACGCAGCCACCCACACCTGCCTCATCAGTAGCTTCAGCAACCCAGAATGCTTGGTCATCATGGCAGGGACAACTTGGGTTATAAAAGCTAAAATGGAAAATTCTGGAAAGCAAAGATAGCCCTGTCCCTTAGAAACCTGTGACTGCCATGGAGACAGGGACAACTCACACTTCTCAGAGACTATCCACGTTAGCATTTTTCTTTGCAGAGTTTGTTTTATTTGGGGATGCATTGTATGAGCTTGATGTATTCGAAACATGTATTTGTTTTATTCATGCCTTAAAATTTTGGCTATATGCCAAGCCCTAGATCAGATACAAATGTGGAAAAGATTTGTTCCCTACCCTCCGCAAGAACCCCCATTTCAGTAAGCTGGACAGATCTGAACACAAACAAAACCCATGGGATAATAGTATTAAGAGCTAGGGTCTGTCTGGGGATAAGGAGAGCCAATTCAAGATGGTGGTGAGTTCTGCCTCATGGCAGCAAGAATCAGGAAGGCTCTGGAGAGTGGGTGGCTTAGAAACTAAGAACTAAAGAGCAGTGAGTGACTTTTGGGGAAACACGGTGAGAAGATGAGGGGCAGAATTGCCCCCAGAGAGCCACCAAAACACATTCACAAGCGTTTTCTGTAATAGGCCAAGTAGTAAATATTTTAGACTTTGTGGACCTGCAGTCTCTGTTGCAACTACTCAACTGTTGTAGTACCGTGAGATCAGCCATAGACTACAGGTAAACAAATGGACTATGTTCCAATAAAGCTTTATTTACAAAGACAGCCGGTGGCTGAGGGAAGGCCATAGTTTGCTGATCTCTGTTCTCTTGCACAGGCAATGCCTCAAGCAGCACTGCATGTTTGGGGGGCCCTAGCAGCTGAGCATAGGTGAGGCAGATCCCAGCGCCCAAGACTCTGCTGTAGCATGGGCCAGGGCATACATAGGAAAGGACCTTGAGCCAGGTGTCCATCGGCCTTAACACTCATGACCATGAGACTCTAATTCAGATATCTCATTTCCAAGAATAAGGTAAGTACCCCTTTGCTCTCATGGTTAAAATTGAAGGCAACATTATTTTTCTCTTGTGTGATGTGGCGGATTCGAACTGTATGGCAGCTGTGACACTGCAGCTCAACTAGAGTAACCGTCCTTTTCTCTTAAATGATGGAAATGCGCACATGAGGGAGAAATGTTCAAACTAGAAAAAGAAGAATGAATCCAGATGCCAAAGAGTATTTCCAATCCTTTTCCTCCCCACAACCAACACAAAACACTATCACCCTAAAGTTAACAGATATGCCGGGTAAAATACTTGGTAAGCACTAGTAATAACTACTACTAATAGTAGCTAACATTTTTCAAGCACTTAATTATGAATCAGCTGCTGGCTGAGCTTATTTCATGTATTAGCTCATGTAATCTCAACCATAGGGTGGCTGAAATTCACAAAGCAGACTGAGGATTCAAACCTAGGTGTATGAAAAAGCTTTCAGGTCTTAAAAAGCTCTCCTTATTCACAGACCCATAACCACTATGGGTACTACCTCCCTACTGGGCAAGACACAAGGGACCTCCCTCCCCACCTTTAGACACTGATCAAGAAGACTGTGGCCCAAGTAAACTGTGGGGCCCCACACACTCCCACTTGCCTCCTGATGTAACAACCAGGACACCATGGCAACAGTGTTCTGGGGCTGTGTGTTTTTCTATTGCCATTCCTGGTATTAACCCCTGATCCCAGTGGTCCATTGATACGAAGTGTTTTACCTGAAATGGACAGATAAGAGGAATCAGATAGGAGACTCTCCTACTCTAGTGCATTCTGAAATGCACTATCAAAGCACCAAGATGCCAGGGAGGCACTCTACAGTGCTGGTCATCAGCTCCCCTGGAGAGACCCCAGACACCTGCCATGGCTGGCACCCCTTTAGTCTACAGCATCAACCACAGGAGATCAACTCTGGCCCCAGGGCTTCAAATACACTGAAGCTGGTCCCTAATTGGATATACTTCCTCTCCAAAGGAGACCAGGGGCACTTGTCATATTGAGTTCAAGTCCCTGGTCAAACTCAGGCACTAGCCACCCTAACTTGCTGTTCTGTCTTCTATTCTCAGATTCCACGCTTTTAGGAACAGAATATCCAGACATTGCCATTTTTGTAATAGTGACTCAGGTCAACAGTCAAGAGTTGGTGATTATCATAAGTTTTCAATTTTTTCCCATAAGATAGAATTGATTATGTTCTTTTGCTATGAGCAAATGAACAACATAGCAAGTTTTCTGGAGGTTTAACATTCTGTAGGTGGACACTTGCCATCCCATTAATGTTTTTCTTAGCATTAACCTTATAGAAGATTCTCACACTAACCTTATAGAAGACTGCTCTCATGGAGACATGTTTGGCAAGACCATTTGATTTTATAATCTAAGGCCATAAAATGAATTGGAAGCATAGAATTTACAAAGTGTTGCTATAAAAGGATCCCAACTGAACACAAATGGTGCTCCCATCCAGCACTTTTTAAGGGAGGGAAGGGGCCAGGAAGCTCATGTTTATTAAGCACCTGCTACCCACATGCCAGGTTCTGTGAATTCATGATCCCAGGTACTGCTCCCAGCAGCCTTCTCACACCAGCCCTACGAGGTAAGTATATATTCTTTTCCACTTCACAGGTTTGAAAACTAAAGCTCAGCAAATCCAACCCTTCTAAGATCACATAGTTTATAAAGCTACCAGGAGCCAGTGACAGATCTGACTCCTAAACCAGTGCTCTCTCCACTACAACACACAGCCCCCGAAGTTAGAACACAGAACTGACTTCTTTAGCCTCTGTAAAGCCAACAGAGCATCTACCTATGGGAAACCCCTAGCAGGAGTCTATTGTTTCATAGAGAAGTAAGCCAGGAGTTGGAGGCGAGAATCTCTGCAAAATTTTGCCTATGGGCACAGGAATCTAGGTTTCACTTTAATAATTAAATGTTGAAAACCTTTCAAAACACTCCTTCCTACTTCAACCTTAGCCGCATCAGCAGGAATTTCCTAGCCATTCATCAGCCTTTATCTTATTCATTCTGCTAAGCAGGGATGAACCCCAGCTCTCTAACTTCTGTCCCACCCTTCCCAACTCCCCACACCCGAGTCTTTCAGTGGAACCCCAAGACTATAAGAACTTGGGCCTTGTGAGAGTGAAGG